CCACCAACCTCCTGTGATCATTACATTGTTAAAATGTTACTATAAAACATTCCTCTTCTTCTAAAACCAGGAGCCACTCTGAGTTAGATTAGGGTGTGTCTCTTACCACTCCTACTGCATTGAAAGCAGCAAACTGCAGTGAGTCCTGGCCCTGTGACTAAAACCTCTATATGCATTAGCTGCTTGTCCCACATCTTGTTTTTCAGAGAGGGGATCAATAAGTCACTTTGGATGTAGTCATTAGCTGTCTGTATGGTCAAATGTATGTTGATGGGCCGTCCATTTAGTTTGTGCACACAGTCATAAATTGCTCTCTGAGCGATTTTCCGACCGTCTTTTCCCCACATGACTGTATGTGTGGTGTGAGAAACCGGGGGTGATATTTGACTCTGACTCTGCTGATTTTGATTAGTGGGCCAGTTCTATTTGACAAACCTGGGTTCAAATAATATTTGAAATCTTTTAAATACTTTGAGCGTTTGCTCTAGCCGGCCTGGAGTGCCAGATGGGCAGGGTTTAGAGTTTTGGGAATATTCAGTTGGTTCATTGAGCCAGGCAAGCTCAATCAAGCACAGATAAAGTATTTGAAATTATTTCTAATACTATTTAAACCCAGGTCTGCCATCTGCCCTGCACTAAGATTTCCAGGGAGGATTGAAGTGGGTGGGGATGAAGGATAAGTGGCTTTCTAAGTGTGGATGCTTCCACAGTGATCTGACATCTGATCAGACTCAATCTGATCATTGCATCCTCGGTAAGTGGATCAAGCCCATCAAATAGGGATCAGCGCTAAAACCTGATTGATAGAGAGGGAGAGTGTGTGTGAGGGGGAGGGAAGACTTGCATTATTAGAAAGAGAGATTTCCAGGGAAGGAAGGTACGTACATTGATAAGACGTTGGTAATCAATTTCTGAAAATAAACTAGATTGTATTTATGGTCTTATTTTTTGAGTAGGCCTGGCCTACCACTGCAGTGATTATAGTCAACTACCTTCTCAAGCAGGTTTTCCAAGAAAGTTTAAAAACGACCCCCCACTCATCTATTTTACATACAGAAGTGCAACCGTTCTTCCAATGTAGTTCACAGAGTGCTGTAGTCCAGGACCTCAGAGTGCATTTTGCATACCTGTACATCTGAGACATACATTTCACATGAAAACAAAAACGTTTCTATCTCGTATTGTTTGACCTCAAACTGGGGAATTGTTTTAGTGATGGAATTGCAAGCTGAACTAGTCTCCTTTTGCTCATCCCTAGAGTTGCTCAAATATGTAGGCTAGTGTATCAGTATGTCGTGTATGTTATGATGGTTTTTGCGACTACACTTGAAGAAACGTTAAAAGTTATTGAAATGTTCCGTATGAAAAATTTATGCACTCACTAACTGTAAGTCGCTCTGGATAAGAGCGTCTGCTAAATGACTAAAATGTAAATAGGTTGTTGGTACTCTCCTTCTGTCCTTTAAGACTGAGGTGAAAATGTATCATTTAAACTTGAAGTCTTGACATACATAGCCTAACATCTGTCTAGATTTTGAAACAAAGGGCGAACACAGAGAGTGTAGCAGAGTTCATTAAATAAACATCAGTTGTGACTGAGTGATGCTCCATACCATCAGGGTAGGCAGACTCACAGTTAGCGTCCCAAATGGCCCCCTATTCCCTACGGGCCCTGGTCAAAAGCAGTGCTCTATATAGGGAGCCATTTGGGATGCAAACACAATGGGCTCTCCAGCCAACCCCACTAGCTGTCCAGATGCAGTTGATGTCAGGGCTTTGTGAGTCCCACTGGGGCCTTTAACAGCATTGAGAAGCACTCTTCTCTCTGCCAATCGATGGAGATTAAGCGAGAGAGAGATGAAGAGATAGTGTGAGAGAAGCGAGCCAGACAAGTGATGGCGGGCCTACCCATCTCTGGCACTGACACACTGAGCTTTGAAAGAGCACTGGAAAACTGGACAGGTTCAGAGGGCTTCCATCAACAGTCAGTAGCTAGCGAACATACAGGCAAATGGATAAGATTCCACCAACCGTACCATTGAATGCACAGTGGTGGTGGTGAAGGGAGCTCTTGTTTAAAACTTTCTCTCTCTTCTGATGCATTCCTTACTGAAGTAGACAAGCTGTAGTTTATGGTTGGTCTCTGTTGAAAAGGTAGTATTAGCAACAGAATCACTATCTGTAAATCACTCCTCTGTCCTGAACAGCTCCATGTAATCCTAGTGAGCTTTTACACTCGACTGTGAGGAAAGCATGAATCTTTAATTCATATAAATATTTAATACACAGGTTGCATTCTTGCTACATATTGGCAGGTTGACTTTTTTACTGCATCATAATATACAAATATGACATGAATATGCTAGTACTGTATCTAAAAATATGGTATTTTCAAGAATACTGTATTGTAAACCAACTCATGAAAATGCATTTAGTTGAACAGCAGCTAATGTTGGTCCTTGTACTGGCTCAGGGGATGTTCAACTCCTATGCAGAGTTAAAACTAGCCTGCTTGAGGAAAAATAAAATGACGACTTCCAAGAATCCTTCGGACAGGTCATCATGCCAGCCTAAAAAAAAAAAAAAAAGCCAAACAATCTCACTGCCCTCATTTTACTTTAAGATGAAGACATTCTCTGTGGGGGAATTTTTATTGCAGCACCGTGCATACATAAAAACACAACCATTTGCAATGGGAGAGTAGACTAATCTTTAACAAAGGAAATATCAAAACAGGAGAAGAAAAAAAAAGCAGCTTGTGACTTGTCAATAATTAGCAAAGCCAAGCACAGCGACCTTCAGTGCAGAACATCAGCAGACTTTGTCCCAATTGGCACCCTATTCCCTATATAGTGCACTACTGTTGACCAGGACCCTGGATAAAAGTAGTGCACTATAGGGAATAAGGTGACATTTGGTAACGCAACCTGTGTGTAAGGATGAGGAGGAGCAGGGAACAGGGAATGAGGAAACAGACCAGACCACAGGAAGTGAAGCAGAAAGGACAGTTTATTGTACCCAGTACAGATCATTATAAACTCAGCAGTGTAAGGTACACGTTGTGAAGAGGGAGAGAAGGTGAAGCCTATACAAGTTCAGACAACCCTAGGTCAGGGTAGAGACAAGAGGTGGATACTCACATTTCTTAATTGAGAGAACGTCTGAATTGGCACCCTACTCCCTATATGGTGCACTACTTTTAACCAGGGCCCATAGTGCTCTTTTCAAAAAGTAGTGCACTATATAGGGAGTAGGGTACCATTTGGGATGCTCCCACACTACCCCTTTATAACCAATACTATTTTCTCGTTCTTTATCCTACCATTTCATTCACCAAAAATGGCCTCTAAAGAAAAACTATCTGCAGTAATAATCGTGTCACTGGGATACATATGTTATAGACAGAACTATACAGGCTTATACAATCAAATCAAACAGATGCAGACTTAGCAAAAATATATATTTATATAAGTTTGTCCCCCCCATTTAAGAAACAAACAAAATGCAGAGAACTTTCACAATGTGTCTTTTTTGTCCAGAGTAGAGGAAAGCCATATGTTAGTGGACAGTTTGTTTGGATATACCGTCATGCAAAGAGAAGCAAAGGTCTCTTGTTGACAACCTGTGATTGGCAGAAAGAGGACTCCAGGGAAAGGTGTAGAATCTCACACCTTCGCATGCAATGTCCTGAAAGATGCCATCCTGGTGCATCTAAGAAACTAGTACACTGACTGCCTAGGAAACATCAAGCACCCAATAAAATAAAAAATATTATTATAACCTTTTTATAACTTTAGGCGTGTATAAATTAAAAATCTCTGGGGAAAATATTGACCGAGGTGTCCCTTTTGGAAAATGAAAAAAAGATTCCTGCAGGGCATTTTGTTTTTGGGGAGGCAGAGCGCTGATTAGTTACAACTATTAGGCAATACAAGTAGAGTTTATGAAAAAAATACAATTGTGTAGAGTGTCAGTATAAATGAGAATGGACCAGACAGTCTGCACCCTAAATGAAACCCTATTCCCTATATAGTGCACTACTTTTGACCAGAGCCACATTGGCTTTGTAAAGTAGTGTATAGGGTCACTTCAGACGCAGGCACAGTCCTCGGAGCTAGTCTGGCTCCTCACAGGTAACCTTAGCTAGCCCAGCACAAACATTCATTCATTCCACTAGATAACAGCCGGGCCGGCATTAAACACAAAAACGTAGACCTCTGGTCTGAGGAATCCATCCATCTATTCTGAAACAACAGAATGTCCCAGTGGGTTAGAGTCCTACTACGTCTAAATCCTTAACCAATTTAGAATAGCCAGCATACATTACTATACCAAGTCTACAGAAACCAACAGGTCTGTGGGTTTAGAGAGAGATATAGATTTATCTATTTTACTATTTGTTTTATTTTTTTGCAAATCAAAGCCCTTGCTTACACAGATCTTATCGTTCATATGTAGCAGAAAAATAAATAATTATGTGGGACCAAAAAGGCAACTACAGACTAGCGCTGTATTTATAGATAATGTTTGTGTCAGAATTAACTTTTAATATACTTATTTTACTCTTTTAGAAAAAGCAGATTGTCAAAAATCAGAACTGTTACAATTCTTGCAGTCTACACGGAGAGATCTATCGGTCAGTCCTCCGGCATGTTGTCATCATAACACGGCCCCTGGCCCATCATAACTTCCACTTCGTCTCCTTAGCAACAACGCCAATTCGCCTTGAGAGTTGGCGGCGCCACTGGAGTCCATTCCACCCTCACTTCCACCTCTCTCTTGGTACTATAGATGATGCCAAGGAAGGTGGTTGGTGCAGGTTTCTCCTCAGTCATTTTAGGGGGAGGGTTAAGTTAATCTGTAAGTGGGCAGAATCGGAGGAGTAACTTAGCGGCGAGAGGGAGGTTTCGGGTTCAGGTTTGGTTTGATCCAGTTTCTAGCTCAGCCTCAGCCGTCTGAGCTTGATCTCTGGGTTGGGTTTAGGAGCAGTAGCAGGTGTGTCAGTACCCGTAGGGCAGACCTCCTACACACTGCTCCCCAGAGTCCACCAGGTAAGGGGTGTTCTTGTCGTAGTGGGTGAGGGGTAGGGTGTCGTCGTCCACCCCAATGCAGGGCAGGCTGTCTGGGTCGGCCTTCAGGCTGGGCCTCTGGTTGTCAGGGAAGGCCATGGAGAACAGGGCCTCAGGGTCGCACACAAACTTGTACACATACCTCTCGCCAGCAACCTGGAATAGACCAATCGGAGAAGAACAAGTTAGTTAGACCCACAGAATCAAATAGAACACAATAGTTTAACATGATATAATATGCATCTCTATGGCTGCATCACCCTCCAAGGTTGTATTCAAATGAGCCAAGGAAGCATCAGGCTGTTTCTGAGGAGAAATGGGGAAGGATAGAAAGGGTGAACCTGCCTTTACCTTCTGCATGATTCCCTTCTCATAGTAGTAGCGCAGAGAACGACTCAGCTTGTCGTAGTTCATTGCTGGCCTGTTCTTCTGGATGCCCCAGCGGCGAGCCACCTGAAGAGACAGAAAATACTAATTCAGTCACATTGCCTGATTGAACGTCTTAAAAACAAATAGTGATTGAATGAGTACACCAACTTTTAATGTCCTGAACTACTACTAGGACCAGGGTAAGGAACTGACCCCTAAAAAAATTAATTGTAAGAGATCTCTTCAAATCCCAGAATCTGTCATGTTTAACAATGAAAAAACTATTTCAACAACTGACCTCTTCTGGCTCAATGAGTTTGAACTCCATGCCCCGGCCTGTCCAGGCAATGAAGTGACCGTTGGCCGGGTCGTCCAATAGGGTGACCAGAAACTGCCAGAGCTGCAGAGAGCCGCGCCGCTGGTAGGGCGGGCCGTCACGGTACACTGATGGCTCCTGCTTGACCTTCCCTGTGGTGGTGGTGGGGGGGGGGAGAGTGAGCAATGTACTCAGGGGCGGCCTGGCCAGCTAGCATGTCGGGCAAATGCCAGATGGGCTGGTCAATTTTTTACAGGGTTGGGTTTTGCCAGGGACCTCACTATTATCACGATACTAAGGTGCCGATACAATATGTATTGCGATTCTCCCGATTCTATATGTATTGCGATTCAATACTGTGATTTTATTGCCATTCCATTGTCTGAACATATTGCTCACCACGTCTGCTGCAGAGGGACAAGAGAGCCATGAGAAAATGAGTTTTGATCAGTCATGGAAATAAGTGCTGATAACAAATTGGCTCCCTATTTTAAAAGGAGAACAAGCTATGAAGGAAAAATATTGGAGTTTTAGTGTAGGTATAGTCAACTAGCGCAAAAATGATATGATAGTTTTGACTATCGATTCCCCCCCCCCCAAATCACACATTGTTTGCCTAGCGGGCATGTCTAACTTGGGTTTTTGGAGCAAAATGATCATTATCTGGCTAATAAATCGGGGAATCAAGGGAAGAAATGGTCCGTGTGGGGGACTCAAGAACAAAATAACAAACCAGCGTGTTAGAAATGCCAGGGCCCATTTTTGGTCCCAGCCTGCCTGACTGTACTCCACTACAGTGTGGTGAGACATTCCTATGAGCTGTGGACTGAAGGGAGGCAGGCTACTCATTTTACACCCGCCTGCCATCTCTGCTGCTCAAAGCAGACTTTCTACAGTTCTCCTCTCTCTAGTCAGTGATGCAACAGACATACTAATAATCCTGTCCTTTCACATGCTGTCAGCAGCTGAGTAGAGTCTCCTCTGTGCTGCTTGTAAAGCTCTCCACCCAAGGACGGGATGAACACCATGCTGCTCAAAAAGCTCTCCCCCGGCCCAAGGATGGGACAAACCTGTTCTTAATGTAGTCTTTCTTACCTTCAAGTCTGTCAGGAACCACGCAGGTATCGTCATAGTACAGGTGAGGCTCTCTGTCAAAGGAGAAACCTGTGATTGGGAGAGAAAGAGATTAGCTAGCCAGGGAGGGGGTGGGAATATGGCCTACATTTTGCTGTGGAGGTCAGCTACTATATTCCAGGGGGACTAAACTGCTCACAAAGCAATATAGCCGGGCAGCTTCCCAAGAGTGGAAAATTCTGTTGTGCTAACATTATGCAGGCAGCAGTGCTGCTGAGCGGTGTTGAAATGCTCACAGTGAAAACCTCATTGATAGATGCATCATCCCGAGAGACGTCATTCTTATGTTGACCTCTACCTTCCGGCATGTCCTATTCTCCAACCATGCAGCACTTTATAACCGCTCAATAAGTCACAACTAGAGGGTCAACAGCTACTAGTAAGCCCTTGTAACGTTTTTTTATTGCGAGAGCTCTGATGAGTAGGATTGCCTGTGTATTTATTACAGAGGAATAAACTTGAAACATGCCACTGCTAAGATGGGGGAAATGGACACTTACTTTCATGGTTGTTTTGGTAGAAGGTCCCTGCTCTTCCAAATGTAGACTGACAGATAGGCACTTCTGTAACAGAGGGAGGACGAGACAGGTTAGTTACACTGACAGCTCTTCACTTTCCCATAAACACAACGTATCAACATCAACCTCTGACACCAGTAAATTTAGAATGCTGCTCTGCTTGCACGCTAGTAAAAGGAGATCATACATACAAGCAGTATCCATTTACTGCATGTGGTTGGGATATGTTCCATCTCAAAAGTAGTGCACTATATTGGGAATAGGCTGCAATTTCAGACGCATCAATTATCAGGCGAGCCGTCCCTACCAGGAGAGACAAAAGTGTGATGCGACTACGGTGGCTACTAGTTTAGCTCATATACATCCATCCAGAGAGAGACAGAGGCTGGGCCAGTGGACCTTTATGCTGACTTATGTATTTATAGGTTGTAAGAAGCTAAGAGGATTTGGCATTACATCACTGACCTCCCAATCATTAAGCTGAGGTAGAATGAGAGAGGGACAGCGCAAAGCTGGCCTGGGCGGAGGAGGGAAGGAAAGGTGGGTGTTGGTGGCAGAAGCGGGACAACAGCTGGGGTGCGTGGGCATCGAGATAAAAAGTCAACAGAATTGTACTCCTCTTCTCTGGTGGGATTACTTCTAGGTAGTGTTTCTATCTGGACGAGGACATCTGGCAATAAGTCAATCTGTATAAGTCTATTGGATTCATTTCAGTGTAAATCTCAATGTAGTTGGTTGAGGAGCATCCTTGTAGTGTTCATACTTGCATTCTAGCACCCTCTAAACACAATGTAGTGGCCCAAATCTATTCTAGGTAGCCCTATACTAGTGAAGTAGGTTTGTCTGTGCCTGGGCTTGGGGATGACTGACCCATTTGCTTTCCCCTCTGCTCTGCTGAGGCTCAAGCCGCGCTAAGAGACCCATCTTTACTGGCCAGACTGTCAGAGAGCAGAGTGACTGTCGTATTTGGAAATGACACGGTCGTGTGTGTGTGTGTGTGTGTGTGTGTGTGTTACGAGTGCTGACGCAGGCCGGTGTGAGGTGAGAGGGTCTACACGGTTGTGTTTGTTCATGGTTCTGGGATTTGCCGCGCTAAAACTAACAGCCGCGTGCCAGCGAGCAAAATCAACAGGGACGGGCACATTCCCCACCCTCTAACCAGTCTGCTCACATGCAGCCTGGCTGGAGGGGACTAGACTAACTCTCCTAGGACAGCAACCTGCATCAGAGAGGCCCAAGGTTGTGTCCTGTTTCGCTTTCCTTTTGTCCTAAGGGTGCACTTGTTCACTCCCCTTTATGAAAAGAAAGGAATGGTGGAATAAATATGGTGGAACCTCATGTTTCCACCAATCCAACAGAGAATAGGAACCAATGTCAAGACTCACACCCCTCAAACCCCATGACAACCCTGTGGGTCAGCTATAAACTTATGACCCAAGCCTCTGTAGTGTAACCAACCGATCCAGAGCAGCCTGAAGGTAGCCAGCCACTTACCAGAGTCGAAGCAGAAGTCCCGGGGCTCCTGCTTGATGGCCATGGGGTGGAAGGCACACTGAGGGGGGCCCATGGAGGGGACACCCTGCTCGGTGTAGCGAGGGTCCAGCAGCTCCTGCTTGAAGCTGGGTGGAGGCACGGGACCAGGGACCAGGGGCTCAGACATCTGGCGGTGGTAGGGGGGCCTCCCGTCCCTGGGCAGGGTGCTGCGGCTGGTGGCCTGCTGCTGGGGCAGGAACTGAGAGCGAGTCTGGCTCTCAGAGGGAGGGAAGGGTAGACATGGCTCCGACATCTGCCTCTGGAACCTAGGGTGGAGGAAGACATGGGAGAAGGTAGGTGGATGAAAACTGTTCCTATAAACAAATGTTTGAACAGAGAGATTGAATGACCGTTCATTAGACTCTTGAACTACTGATGGCTATTGATGAAAACTGTAGCTTAAAAACATTTCAGTTTTAAAGTGAATGGAAACTGTTTTAATATAAGAGACATACATTTACAGTAAATGCGAGTAAGAGTCTTCAACCATTGATGAACTACTGAGCGTCCAGCTTTAGACCAAGACGCAAGGCACACATGCAGGAGCCAAATGTACTCACTTAGCGAATATAAGCTGTAAATGAGATACTGGGGGCAGATGTCAATAGCTAGCAGGTATAAAAAGATCCTCCACTGACAGTAAGACAGAGACAAGGTCAATGGCTTCTGGCTACACACAGATTCCACATTACTGGCTGGTGATGACATGCCCTGCGTTCCAACACATCCCATCAGGAGTCCTGTCACAGGTGGGGTGACGGGGGCGGTGGGTCGTTCCCACGGGAGTCAGGTTTAGACAGTCTCCCAAAGAGGAGTCCGTCAGTCATGATGCCAGCACACGCTACCAACCGTTGGACCTTTCCTCAACATAGGGGCACAAAGCCTGATAGTCTCCACTGGTCTTGGCGTTTAAAATGGCACGGTGTCTCAGAGTGCAATGGAAACATGAACTCCTGTCTTAGTGCGATGGATGTGTACATTTAGAGAGGTTAACCTAGGGTCAGGGGTCATCTATACAGACAGGCTCATTAGTTAGAATGTTAGTAAACATCTGGATGGAGTCATTCACCTGTTGACCAATGTTGGACGTTCATCTCATATAATCGTATAGGCTAACACCTCTGACACGGTTTCTCATGATAAACTCCTATACCAGTAAGCCTAGCCTCAGGCTCTCACCTTCAAGACTTGTTAAGAAGTAGAAGGTGCTCAACCAACGTGAGCAGATAAGCAACCTAAAAATGTGTTGACATCATTGGACAGGAAAAGGCGCAATGCTCGCTCACCATAAAAATACGCAGTTTTATTAGACACGTTTAAAAGATTGACGTTTCGGCCTTCAACGGCCTTCTTCAGAACCTTCAAGACTTGAAAGGATAGCATTGTATACAGTTAACCTAACTCGGAGTCTGACTGATGTGATTGGGTGAGAGGTGTTAGGACCAATCACCTGTGTTCAGGGCTGTAGGTACCATCCTGAATGAGGAGTGAGGAGGGGCAGGGCACTGCGTAGGGCGGGCTCTGGAGGGGGAGTGTCCTCTGCTGGTTGTGAGCTGGGCCAACTTCTTGGTTGTCAGGCTGCACGTGCTGCAGGGGGTGTGGCCCTTGCGTCTGGTTCTGATTGGGTATTTGATGAGGGGGAGGAGTCTGCTGGCTGAGTGGGTGTGTCCCTGGGGTGTTGGTAGAGTTGCATGGTGACACGGGTGTAGAGGGAGGGGTCAATGGCTTATAGCCCCCACTAGGTTCTCTCTCATAGGCACTGTGGAGGGAGAGACAGACCGGTCAGACAGAAAGCAAGAATCCTGGGCTCTTATGTCAGTGTGGTGAAAGGTAATGTGATGTAATGTGTATATGTATATATTTATACACACACACACACACAGACATATATACACACACATACATATACATATAATTCCTCCTCCTCCAAACACGGCGAGTTGAGTTGATGCCAAAGAGCTCGATTTTGGTCTCATCTGACCACAACACTTTCACCCAGTTCTCCTCTGAATCATTCAGATGTTCATTGGCAAACTTCAGACGGGCCTGTATATGTGCTTTCTTGAGCAGGGGGACCTTGCAGGCGCTGCAGGATTTCAGTCCTTCACGGCGTAGTGTGTTACCAATTGTTTTCTTGGTGACTATGGTCCAAGCTGCCTTGAGATTATTGACAAGATCCTCCTGTGTAGTTCTGGGCTGATTCCTCACCGTTCTCATGATCATTGCAACTCCACGAGGTGAGATCTTGCATGGAGCCCCAGGCCGAGGGAGATTGACAGTTATTTTGTGTTCTTCCATTTGCGAATAATCGCACCAACTGTTGTCACCTTCTCACCAAGCTTCTTGGCGATGGTCTTGTAGCCCATTCCAGCCTTGTGTAGGTCTACAATCTTGTCCCTGACATCCTTGGAGAGCTCTTTGGTCTTGGCCATGGTGGAGAGTTTGGAATCTGATTAATTGATTGCTTCTGTGAACAGGTGGCTTTTATACAGGTAACAAGCTGAGATTAGGAGCACTCCCTTTAAATCTTAGCTCGTTACCTGTATAAAAGACATCTGGGAGACAGAAATCATTCTGATCGAGAGGGGGCCAAATACTTATTTCCCTCATTAAAATGCAAATCAATTTATAAACATGCGTTTTTCTGGATTTCTTTGTTGTTATTCTGTCTCTCACTGTTCAAATAAACCTACCATTAAAATTATAGACTGATCATTTCTTTGTCAGTGGGCAAACGTAAAAAACCAGCAGGGGATCAAATACTTTTTTCTGTGTCTGTACACACACGTATATATATACACACACATACATATATACATACAGTGAGGGAAAAAAGTATTTGATCCCCTGCTGATTTTGTACGTTAGCCCACTGACAAACTCTTTGCAGATGTTCTCCAAGTCATTAAGGTTGAGGCTGACGTTTGGCAACTCGAACCTTCAGCTCCCTCCACAGATTTTCTATGGGATTAAGGTCTGGAGACTGGCTAGGCCACTCCAGGACCTTAATGTGCTTCTTCTTGAGCCACTCCTTTGTTGCCTTGGCTGTGTGTTTTGGGTCATTGTCATGCTGGAATACCCATCCACAACCCATTTTCAATGCCCTGGCTGAGGGAAGGAGGTTCTCACCCAAGATTTGACGGTACATGGCCCCGTCCATCGTCCCTTTGATGCGGTGAAGTTGTCCTGTCCCCTTAGCAGAAAAACACCCCCAAAGCATAATGTTTCCACCTCCATGTTTGACGGTGGGGATGGTGTTCTTGGGGTCATAGGCAGCATTCCTCCTCCTCCAAACACGGCGAGTTGAGTTGATGCCAAAGAGCTCGATTTTGGTCTCATCTGACCACAACACTTTCACCCAGTTCTCCTCTGAATCATTCAGATGTTCATTGGCAAACTTCAGACAGGCCTGTTTGTGCTTTCTTGAGCAGAAGAAGCACATTAAGGTCCTGGAGTGGCCTAGCCAGTCTCCAGACCTTAATCCCATAGAAAATCTGTGGAGGGAGCTGAAGGTTGGAGTTGCCAAACGTCAGCCTCGAAACCTTAATGACTTGGAGAAGATCTGCAAAGAGGAGTGGGACAAAATCCCACCTGAGATGTGTGCAAACCTTGTGGCCAACTACAAGAAACGTCTGACCTCTGTGATTGCCAACAAGGGTTTTGCCACCAAGTACTAAGTCATGTTTTGCAGAAGGGGTCAAATACTTATTTCCCTCATTAAAATGCAAATACATTTATAACATTTTTGACATGCATTTTTCTGGATTTTTTTGTTGTTATTCTGTCTCTCAATGTTCAAATAAACCTACCATTAAAATGATAGACTGATCATATAATATGCCATTTAGCAGACGCTTTTATCCAAAGCGACTTACAGTCGTGCGTGCATACATTTTTGTGTATGGGTGGTCCCGGGGATCGAACCCACTACCTTGGCGTTACAAGCGCCGTGCTCTACCAGCTGAGCTACAGAGGACCACATGTCTTTGTCAGTGGGCAAACGTACAAAAACAGCAGGGGATCAAATACTTTTTTCCCCTCACTGTACATACATACATCTCTCTCTGGAAAAAATTAAGAGACCACTGCAAAAATATATGTTTCTCTGGTTTTACTATTTATAGGTATGTGTTTGGGTGAAATTAACATTTTTGTTTTATTCTATAAACTACTGACAACATTTCTCCCAAATTCCAAATAAAAATATTGCCATTTAGAGCATTTATTTGCAGAAAATGACAACTGGTCAAAATAACAAAAAATATGCAGTTTTGTCAGACCTCGAATAATGCAAAGAAAATAAGTTAATGTTCATTTTTAAACACAATATAAATGTTTTAACTTAGGAAGAGTTCAGAAATCAATATTTGGTGGAATAACCCTGATTTTCAATCACAGCTTTCATGCGTCTTGGCATGCTCTCCACCAGTCTTTCACATTGATGTTGGGTGACTTTATGCCACTCCTGGCGAAATAATTCAAGCAGCTCGGCTTTGTTTGATGGCTTGTGACCATCCATCTTCCTCTTGATCATATTCCAGAAGTTTCAATGGGGTTCAGGTCTGGAGATTTGGCTGGTCATGACAGGGTCTTGATCTGGTGGTCCTCCATCCACACCTTGACTGACCTGGCTGTGAGGCATGGCGCATTGTCCTGCTGGAAAAACCAATCCTCAGAGTTGGGGAACAATGTCAGAGCAAAAGGAAGCAAGTTTTCTTCCAGGACAACCTTGTACGTTCTTCACAAAGACAAATCTATCCAATTCCAGCCTTGCTGAAGCACCCCCAGATCATCACCGATCCTCTACCAAATTTCACAGTGGGTGCGAGACACTGTGGCTTGTAGGCCTCTCCAGGTCTCCGTCTAACCATTAGACGACCAGGTGTTGGGCAAAGCTGAAAATTGGACTCAGAAAATGACCTTAATCCAGTCCTCTACGGTCCAATCCTTACGGTCTTTTGCAAACCTCAGCCTGGCTTTTCTTTGCTTCTCATTGATGAAGGGCTTTTTTCTAGCTTTGCACGACTTCAGCCCTGCCCCTAGGAGCCTGTTTCAAACCATCCTCGCCGTGCACTTCACCCCAGCTGCCGTTTGCCATTATTTTTGTAGGTCACTTGATGTCATCCTATGGTTGTTGAGTGACATTCGAATGAGTTGGCGGTCATCCCGGTCAGTAGAGTCGTTTTCGCCCTCTGCCGGTCTGTAGCTTTGTTGTCCCCAATGTCTGCTGCTTGACCTTGTTCTTATGAACCGCCGTCTTTGAAATTTTAAGGATGGAAGCAACCTGATGCTCACTGTATCCCTCTGCCAGTAAAGCCAGAATTGAACCCTTCTTTTCCTCACTCAAAACTTTCCTTTTCAACTCTTTTGGCATGGTCAATAGTTATTTTTTGATTAATATTACTTTTGAGGTACTATTAGCACTGTTTTTGCCATCCAGCTGGTCCTATTGCAAGAGGATAGTGATGACCACAGCAGTGGTTTTTATACTTTTCCTTGTTAAATAAGATTTGGTTCAGGTGATCACCTAATCAGTACCTAATTCAGTAGAATGAGGTGTGCCTGTGTTGGAATTCACCCGACACTGGAATGGCTGTCATACATGTAGAGATGCTGATTTAAGAACATTTTGCAGTAGTCGCTTAATTTTTTACAGAGCTGTGTGTATACACACACACACACACACACACACACAGTTGAAGTCGGAAGTTTACATACACTTAGGTTGGAGTCATTAAAACTCGTTTTTCAACCGCTCCACAAATTTCTTGTTAACAAACTATCGTTTTGGCAAGTTGGTTAGGACATCTACTTTGCGCATGACAAGTACATTTTTCCAACAATTGTTTACAGACAGATTATTTCACTGTATCACAATTCCAGTGGGTCAGAAGTTTACATACACTAAGTTGACTGTGCCTTTAAACAGCTTGGAAAATTCCAAAAAATGATGTCATGGCTTTAGAACATTCTGATAGGCTAATTGACATCATTTGAGTCAATTGGAGATGTACCTGTGGATGTATTTCAAGGCCTACCTTCAAACTTTGCTTGACATGGGAAAATCCCAAAGAAATCAGCCAAGACCTCAGAAAAAAAAATTCTGGTTCATTCTTGGGAGCAATTTCCAAACGGCTGAAGGTACCACGTTCATCTGTACAAACAATAGTATGCAAGTATAAACACCATGGGACCACGCAGCCGTCATACCGCTCAGGAAGGAGACGCGTTCTGTCTCCTAGAGATGAACGTACTTTGGTGCGAAAAGTGCTGTTGTTCTGGGATTGATTTGCAAAGGACCTTGTGAAGATGCTGGAGGAAACAGGTACAAAAGTATCTATATCCACAGTAAAACGAGTCCTATATCGACATAACCTGAAAGGCAGCTCAGCAAGGAAGAAGCCACTGCTCCAAAACCGCTATAAAAAAGCCAGACTACGGTTTGCAACTGCACATGGGGACAAAGATCATGCTTTTTGGAGAAATGTCCTCTGGTGTGATGAAACAAAAATAGAACTGTTAGACCATAATGACCATCGTTATGTTTGGAGGAAAAAGGGGAAGGCTTGCAAGCCGAAGAACACCATCCCAACCATGAAGCACGGGGGTGGCAGCATCATGCTGTGGGGGTGCTTTGCTGCATGAGGGAATGGTGCACTTCACAAAATAGATGGCATCATGAGGAAGGAAAGTTATGTGGATATATTGAAGCAACATCTCAAGACATCAGTCAGGAAGTTAAAGCTTGGTCGCAAATGGATCTTCCAAATGGACAATGACCCCAAGCAGACTTCCAAAGTTGTGGCAAAATGGCTTAAGGACAACAAAGTCAAGGTATTGGAGTGGCCAACACAAAGCCCTGACCTCAATCCTATAGAAAATGTGTGGGCAGAACTGAAAAAGCGTGTGCGAGCAAGGAGGCCTACAAACCTGACTCAGTTACACCAGCTCTTTGAGGAGGAATGGGCCAAAATTCACTCAACTTATTGTGGGAAGCTTGTGGAAGGCTACCCGAAACATTTGACCCAAGTTACACAATTTAAAGGCAATGCTACCAAATTCTAATTGAGTGCATATCAACTTCTGACCCACTGGGAATGTGATGAAAGAAATAAAAGCTTAAAATAAATAAAATCACCATTATTCTGACATTTCACATTCTTAAAATAAAGTGTTGATCCTAACTGACCTAAGACAGGGAATTTTTACTAGGATTGAATGTCAGGAATTGTGAAAAACAGAGTTTAAATGTATTTGGCAAGGTGTATGTAAACTTCAGACTTCCTAATTTATTGTATGTATATATACACACACACACACACACACACACACACACACACAGAGAGTACCAGTCAAAGGTTTGGACACCTACTCATTCAAGGGTTTTACTTTTGTTTTTAAATATATTGTAGAATAATAGTGAAGACGTCAAAACTATGAAATAACACATTGAATTATGTAGTAACCTAAAAAAGTGTTAAACAAATCAGAATATATTTTATATTTGAGATTCTTCAAAGTAGCCACCCTTTAACTTGATGACAGCTTTGCACACTTGGCATACTCTCAACCAGCTTCACCTGGAATGCTTTTCCAACAGTCTTGAAGGCCTTCCCACATATGCTGAGCACTTGGCTGCTTTTCCTTCACTCTGCTGTCCGACTCAACCCAAACCATCACACGCCTGGAGGTGTGTTCGGTCACGGTCCTCTTCAAAAACTAAATGATAATCCCACTAAGCCCAAAACAGATGGGATGGCATATCGCTGCAGAATGCTGAGGTAGCCATGCTGGTTAAGTGCCTTGAAGTCTAAATAAAATCAGACAATTTCACCAGCAAAGCACCCCCACGCCATAACACGGAGATCATCCGTTCACCCACACTGCGTCTCACAAAGACACGGCGGTTTGAACCAAATCTCCAATTTGGACTCCAGACCAAAGGACACATTTCCACCGGTCTAATGTCCATTGCTCGTGTTTCTTGGCCCAAGCAGGTCTCTTCTTATTAGTCTCCTTTAGTAGTGGTTTCTTTGCAGCAATTCGACCATGAAGGCCTGATTCACACAGTCTCCTCTGAACAGTTGATGTTGAGATGTGTCTGTTACTTGAACTCAAGCATTTATTTGGACTGCAATTTCTGAGGCTAGTAACTCTAATGAACTTATCTTCTGCAGCAGAGGTAACTCTGTGTCTTCCTTTCCTGTGGCGGTCCTCCTGAGAGCCAGTTTCATCATAGCGTTTTATCGACTGCACTTGAATACATTTTTTAAGTTCTTGAAATGTTCCGGATTGACTGACCTTCATGTCTTAAAGTAATGATGGACTGTCGTTTCTCTTTGCTTATTTGAGCTTTTCTTGCCATAATATGGACTTGGTCTTTTACCAAATTGCACCCCCCCCCCCACCACCACGTCACAACAGAACTGATTGACTCAAACACATTCAGAAGGAAAGAAATTCCACAAATTAACTTAAGGCAAACCTGTCAATTTAAATGCATTCCAGGTGACTACCTCATGAAGCTGGTTGAGAGAATGCCAAGGATGTGCAAAGCTGTCATCAAGGCAAAGGGTGGCTATTTGAAGAATCTCAAATATTTTGATTTGTTTAACACTTTTTTGGTTACTACATGATTCCATATGTGTTATTTCAGTTTTGATGTCTTCACTATTATTCTACAATGTAGAAAATAGTAAAAATAAAGAAAAACCCTTGAATGAGTAGGTGTGTCCAAACTTTTGACTGGATGTAGTGTGTGTATATATATAAAAAAATAAAAAAATGGTCCATACCTGTAGCTGTAAAGGCACTTCTCTCCGTACGGCATGGGACTCCTGTCCTGGCTACAAGGAGAATTCTCTTTGGAAGGACTCAGTTCCCGTTTAATCTTGGATGGTGGGGGGCCATGAAACGTTACTGAGAAGAGAGAGGGGCAACACATTAGAAAACTGCTCTACCTAAAATCAACCTATAAAACAGAAGTGCAGACAGTCAGGGCTTATTCAATATCCTCCATCATTTTCAATGAATGGACATTGACAGTCTCTTGTCTTCCCCCAACCAGCACTGTGAGCCACTTCACCATGTCACATCCTAACCACGGCTGGCAGCCCAATAGAAAACCTCCATCAGTATCATACTATCACCACTGTCCGCTCCCGTCAGATTTCTATTACGGACCCAGGCTGCGTCCCAAATGGTACCCATAGGGCTCTGGTCAAAAGTATCGCACTATATGGAATAGGCGGAGCCCTGGTCAATACCTATGATTCAGTGTGGCCGTAATTCAACCATTCTCAATGATTTTCCTCCCCTCACTGTAACCATTAGCCCACTAGATCTCCAGTCTCACGTCGGCTCCCATTTCCGGCGCCACATAATGGGCCAGTGAAATCGGATACGCGGGCGAGAGGCGTAACAGGAGCTGGACACATCACCCTAACTGATGGACCAGTGAAGGGAGGGGTGACAGGGAACCAATAGGCATGTGAGCGGAGCATGCATGCTATAAAAGCCCAGAGCAGGGCCACATGTAGTATTGCCTCAGACGGAACACATGAGAGCGAGAGACAGAAAACAGATGAAGAATGGGAAATTAAAGCACTTTCCACCCCACTCTCCTAGACAGGTGTTGAGATGATGGGAGGGCTAGGCTCAGTACAGTGCAGTGCAGGAGGAGAGTGTGTGGAGCACATTGGCTATCATGTGACGGATGACTGAAGGCAGGGCAGGGGCCACGTGGGACTGGTGAATAGAGAGCCTGTGTTAGAGCCTAGCCCCTGTTTGGCTATGGGGTCGCTGCTAAACACACTATGCTGCACGCTCACACATGCACCCAAACAGCTGTGTCAAGAACTATACTGCACAGACACCTCACTGTGAGAAGACTATAGCAAGTCCTACTACACACCTCAGCATAGGCCTCACTGTCTAAACACACGTGACAGCAGCAACCTCAATAATATATTGCAGCAGCGCAGTCATTTACAGTATGCTAGGCTACCATGCAGATCGGGGTCCAAAACACCAACCACTAACAAAGACAGATGCCAGCGACCACACCCAGTCTCTGCTACCACATCAGACAAAAACAAACTGTAAAAGAGGGGGGGGGACCATAAAACGCTCCACTGAACATAACTCAAATATTTCCCTTAGCTGCCATATAAAAGGCTCTGTGCACTGCAGACAAATGGGGGGAGGTGGAGCTGTACAGAGTCGGAGAGGGGACGAGAGAAGGGCTGTGTGTACTTGGACTCCATTGGATACGCCCACCCGCTTGAATCCATCCCACTCCAGAGGCTGAGTTTGAGTGCATGAAAGTGTAAAATCAGATTATGAGCTTGGCTCATGTGATGCCCCACGCCAATCGCCTGATTAAACTCAAAATGGGAGGGGGGAAAAGTCTCTTCCCAGAGTATAGAGGGATGTTTGAGGGTAAGAAGAATGGCGTCAGGCCCTGGCAGGATGAAATCCCTCTAAGGATGGTTGGATAGAGCGAGCGAGAAAGAGAGACCGGGAGAATAAGAGAGAGTGATCATCAGGGTTTGTTATCTTAAAGATTCTAAAGCCAGTAAAGACTTAAAGAATGAACTGAGTTAATAAAACTGGAGGGCAAATGGCTCTTTCAGTGCAGCACTGTAATCCTGAAGGCCTAGGTCTTTCAGTCAAGCACAGCAGCAGTCCCAAGATCAGATCTTGCTACATTGTGTGCGTAGGGGAACTTGACACCACCTCTACATCCCAACCTGGTATAAATAATACATCTCAGGTACTCACAGCTATCAGACTGGAAATCCGGGACAAACTGTTCGTCATCAGGCACCTGGGCTGTGGAGGGAGAGAAGAGAGCGTTAAACAGGTGGATACTAACTGGGCCTCCGCCGGGTGAACAACACTGGAACTGTCAAGCTCATTTTGATGTCTTTATTCAAAAGGAGCCGGTTGCTTATTTACAGGACTTTGCTCTAGTTTAGTGCACAGAAAGAAAACATGAATATTTCAAAATTCTCATTTTAGGTCAATCTGCCCACTTGCTCAACGCATCTCAATAACCATCTGGGAACACAATTCAATCATCCAAAACATTTTCCTCCATTTGGTCACACTCTTTCCAAAGATTATCCTTATTTTTCTGCCTGTATTGACGACAGCTACTTCAAGGGGAATTGTATTACTTTTCCAAAGGCGTTAGATATGGATGAAATTGAATTAACATAACCAATGTCTACCAGAGGGCAAGCGCTGTCGGGTTGTGCTGAGAGCAACAGAATACATCGAAAGAAATTCAGCAGACAAGGGAAGGGGAAGCATTCAGTATAAACTCTGTGGTATACTTACTAGATAACTCACCTTCTGCAATCCAGATCTCCTGCAACTGACTGAGGTCTTGGAAGAGGTCTGAAACATACAAATATTTTTAAAACTGAGCCTATGGACTGCTGTTCAATGTCAGAATGGTAGGTAGATCGCACTTTAACAATCCACTTTAAATATGATAGGAATCAAAAGTATGGTTGTGTCGGGTGGCTCATGCTGACGTCAAAGGGCAATGAGTGACAAAGAAGTTGTCCAATTACCTTCCGTGTCCTGGGCGAGTTCTGTGTCTACAAACTTCCTTTTCCTGTTGTCTATGACTGGTCTGCTGTATGGTTCCTCCACATGAGATTTCTGATGCAATGATGAAAACACAACCAACTTGTTAGTTAGAGCTGTTTAGTGTGACTCAGAGCCGTGTATACATGTAAATATATGCCTCTGGTGTGACTCATAAAATGTTCTTGAGAGAACGTCACATCACATCACATCTAGTTGGAATGTTGACAAGCCTAAATCTATGGCTCTGTTTGAATATCTACACTAGAATACCATTTTAGAATCCGTGGCCAATACATTCTGATTCTGCATTCCAAGCAGTATGGAAGTTTGGATATTGGAACAGAGCCCATGACAACCACGCTTCTGATTGATAAAGAACCATAAAAATTGAATAATTATAATGGGCATTCCCATTCAACAGTTCTAGTAATTATATTTCTATGAAGATATGAGGGGCATGCTTACATTGGGTGGGACCATAAATGGGACTTGCTGGTCGTAGAATCCGTCCATGTTATCCGGATCTTCAAAGGTTCCCAGAAAAAGGTATTCGCTTTAAAGCGATATCACAAAAGTCACTATATGTACTAGCTGTTCAACTGTGGACAAAAACAAAAACATATGTTAGTAGTTCAACTCTGCTAGAGTACTCAGTCATCCAGTTTCTTTCCCTAATATAGACAGACCTGTAAGCAAGCAGCCACTTCACTACAGCCCTATCAGAACCCCACTACAGACCTTTCAGAACCCATATAACCCGCACCTCCTCTTGCTCTTGTTGCCCAACACTGTTTCCTATTGCAACAACAGCTCTTTTAACTGAACATGCTGGTTTAGAGCATGCCCTGCATGCACAACATAAATACACTGTAGTTGTGTGACTTATGTAACTCTTACATAAGGCAAAGCCAGCCATCTGTTCAGGCGATTAGGAGACTGCAATCATAATCAGCTAAGACTGCGCAGGGGAAAACTTCTAGGATGAGTCTTTAACCCTATACTTTGAGGCATTTGATGCCAATGGGTGACACCGTATTGTATGGATCACACGTGTCATTTATTTATTACTCAAAAACTAGTCACTGAAGAACATTAGACAACATAGAAAAGCCAGTCTATAAATAAATCCAATAGAAACGTCTCGTTACAATATGCCTCTACGTACAGAGGCAAGTGACTCGTTTCATACTGACCTTTAAATATAAAATCTAGCACAGCTGCCATATCCCCCGGGCATAGTGAAGTTAAGTGCAATAGCACGTAAAGGCCGACAGAAAAGTGGCAAAGAGAAAGGGCTGGGAATAAACTAGTAGTAAAATCATGCCCTTCCACTCCACGTGATTAGCCCTCGTCTCCAAACCTCCTCGAGCATGACACGAGTCACTATACTTTCACCCGTTCATTTTCTTGAAGGCCGTTTATTCTCTTGATGGATGACGAATAAAGTTACAGCTGGTCAATCATTAAAGCGACACATTGTAGCAACACATTGAAAATATGTATTTACTGATGCATAAAATATGCCAGTCCAATAGTGGACAATCATGACAAATATTTTAAAACCAAGTTTTGAAAACAGTGGCGTTGTCAATGGACCATATATCCAAAGTAGCAGGTTGGTAGAGCATGGCGCTTGCAACGCCAGGGTTGTGGGTTCGTTTCCCACGGGGGGCCAGTATGAAAATGTATGCACTCTCTAACTAAGTCGCTCTGGTATCCGAGCCTCTGCTAAATGAATGAATAAAATGTAAATCACAGCTTTATATTCCCCTCTCCCAAATGTAATTACAAAGTTCCCACGTTTGATCATGTAACTTGTTGTAGCCTAAACGTAGCTACAGATTGTTACTCCAGATAATGCGATTTAGCCAAATATTTTTGGTATCCATTACTGGGAATTACAGGATAGGTACTGTTTGGTGAAGCAGAGAATTTGACCAACCTTAACCTTGCCATACTAGCTTCGTTCTGGATTCAGTCAAACGTATCTTCTAAAATGTCCGTGTCCAGTTGCATGGTGCGTTTGCATTTTAGAAAATGCTCAGTTATTAAAATATCAATATTTTGCTCCATGAAGTAATCCAACAATGTGTACGACGCCATCTTGTCTATTTCAAATCTTCTCTCATTGATTGAGACAGGTGGGTCCACCCCAGAGTGCCTTATGTCATGATGACACTCACCTGTCTCGATCAATTCTATAATATTTGAAATAGACAAGATGGCCTCGTACACATTGTTGCATTACTTCAGGAATCAAAAAAATGTATATAATGTATTTTAATAACTGAGCATTTTCTAAAATGCAAAGGCACCATGCACCTGCAACTGGACACGGACATTTTAGAAGATACAGGTTTGGCCGAATCCAGAACGAAGCTAGTATGGCAAAGTTAAGGTTGGTCAAATACTCTGCTACACCAAACAGTAACTATCCTGTAACTCCCATTAATGGACACCAACAATCTTTGGTTAAATCATTATCTGGAGAAAAATATCGGTAGTTGGCATATAAAAGCAGCGAGTGGAAAATTGTAGGCAACAAAAAGACAATAGCCTATATTGCAAACTGCCGATGAAAATCAAGCCTCCTATTGAGAAAAACTGAAATAGTATTTGCAACGCTATTTCTTTCCCCAATAGTTAATGCAAAAATATCCCACTAAATCTTAGCTAGTTCAAAGCAATTCATGAATTACATCCTATATTGCAAACTGCTGATGAAAATCAAGCCTCCTATTGAGAAAAACTGAAATAGTATTTGCAACGCTATTTCTTTCCCCAATAGTTAATGCAAAAATATCCCACTAAATCTTAGCTAGTTCAAAGCAATTCATGAATTACATCCTATATTGCAAACTGCTGATGAAAATCAAGCCTCCTATTGAGAAAAACTGAAATAGTATTTGCAACGCTATTTCTTTCCCCAATAGTTAATGCAAAAAATCCCAATAGATCTTAGCTAGTTCAAAACAATTGATGAATTACATCCGATCGACCGTCACCCCCCCTCCCGGATGAATTACATCCGACCGACCCCCCACCCCCCTTCACCGGCCCTTGCTTTTTTAATGAAGTGAAACTCGATCCGTGTGGAACACTGCGAAGAAAAAACCTGACCTCTCCATTCATAAAATCAGAAACAGCCGACCGACCTCGGAGATAAGAAATATGCAGACTCAGATAAAGAATGAACAATACTACACAGCACAATTTTAAAAAACGTGTATAGTCCATGGCGCAACTTAATACAAAGCGAGAGAAGATGGTTGCCAAAGTAAATGTTTTCTTGGAGAAAGATGGCGATCCGTTTTCGCCCATGGCAGAGCTCTAGATTTGCTGTTGCAGGCGCTCGTAAACTTATTGATATTCCATCGCCACAGATGGCTATCCAGGCAAAATTACAAAAAAAACATTCAGATTTTAGGCTACTCACCCTGTGCGCGTTTCAATTCCTTTACAGTATGGAAAGAACGCGATACAAAATCCACAACAACAAAAAAATACACAAATGTCTCCGTTCTGTAATCAAATGCTCCGTTCCCTCCGACTCACAAAACTTGACTGAGCTTTTAGTTAATGATGGCTTGGTTTTCCCTGGGGCTCGAGTGGTACACAGAGGCACACGCTCATTGGCTCGTTGGCATTGTCAATTTTGTGAGTAACCAATGGGCATTATAAATGCATTAATTATATATGAAGTGCTCAAGGACCAATGGAAGCGTAGATGGTCAAACGTGGATCTGTCCTATTTTTTATTTTTAAATGAATGGCTGTGTTTCATTCATTTTTTTTCAGTCATCACCGCTGTGAGATATTTAAAGGGCCAGCTGTGTAATAACCTGGTAGGCTAATAACAGACAGTTGAAATCTACAAACCTACGGTTACAGTTTCACTTCAACAAAGTGTTTGTATGTTTTTGCCAATGACAGATAGGCTAGTCATTTTGAAACAGGATCTACACAAATTGATAATTTAATCCTGGGAATATTCAAATGACGCGAACAGTGAATGTGGCACAGTTTATGCACAGCTGCTTTCCTGCTGTAATTGTACCTTAACCTCTTAAGGATCGGACCCTTTTTAAACAATTTTCGCCTAAAATGACATTCCCAAATCTAACTGCCTGTAGCTCAGGACCTGAAGCAAGGATATGCATATTATTGATACCATTTGAAAGGAAACACTTTGAAGTTTGTGGAAATGTTAAATGAATGTAGGAGAATAAAACACATTGGATCTGGTAAAAGATAACACCAACAAAAAACCAGCACCTATATACCAGACAGTGTCAGAGGAAAGCCTAAAAATTGTCATACTCTAGCCACCCTAGTCATAGACCGTCCACTCTGCTACCGCACCGTACCGTACCGGAGCGCCAAGTCTAGGTCCAAGAGGCTTCTAAACAGCTTCTACTCCTTAATATTTAATATGATATATACTCCTGAACATCTAATCAAATGGCTACCCAGACAATTTCCATAGTCACTTTAATAACTCTACCTACATGTACATATTACCTCAATTACCTCGACTAACTGGTGCCCCTGAACATTAACTCGGTACCGGTACCCCCTGTATATAGCCTCGCTACTGTTATTTTTACTGCTGCTCTTTAATTATTTGTTACTTTTATTTCGTATTATTTTATATTGTATTTTTGAGTGTGATCTTTTTTTTGGTGTTTACATTTACATTTTAGTCATTTAGCTGACGCTCTTATCCATAGCGACTTACAGTTAGTGCATACATAAATTTATAAATTTTTATATTTTTTTAATTTAATTTTGTATGTTTTTAGAATTTTTTATATATATATATATATTTTTATTATTATTATTATTTATTTTTTTATACCCCATGTGGGAAACGAACCCACAACCCTGGCGTTGCAAACGCCATGCTCTATCAACTTAGTTAAAACTGCATTGTTGGTTAAGGGCTTGTCAGTAAGCGTTTCACTGTAAGGTCTACACCTGTTGTATTCGGCGCATGTGACAAATAACATTTGATTTGATTTGATCTTTGAAATGCAAGAGAAAGGCCACAATATAATATTGCAGTTTAGGCGCAATTTAGATTTTGGCCACTAGATGGCAGCAGTGTGTGTGCAAAGCTTCAGATTGATCCAGTGACGCGTTGCAATACTGGACTATTTTGTATCAAGTCTGTCCAAATGTGCTGAGTTGGTCAGTTGATACATTTTCAAGTACATAACTATAGAGAACATACAAAAATGATATGGTAATACAAAATGTAAGTTTACACACTCCCAGGAATGTCATACATGATGGATCATTAGCTTATACACTAACTTTCACACATCTAGATGGCCGGACAGGGTGGGTGTGGAGCCAGTGACAGCAGGGGTTCAAACTGTAGAAACCAGTTCCTACATTTGAATATAAAAATGGATTTTATCAAACAAAACTACGCTACATTTTATCTCTGGGACCCTTAGGATGACAAATCCCCCTGTAGCTCAGTTGGTAGAGCATGGCGCTTGCAACGCCAGGGTTGTGGATTTGTTTCCCACGGGGGGCCAGTATGAAAATGTATGCACTCACTAACTGCAAGTCGCTCTGGATAAGAGCGTCTGCTAAATGACTAAAATGTAAAATGTAAATCAGAACAAGATTACTGAATGTAAGTACATTATTTACCTTCAGAGGTGAATGTATCAAACCAGTTGCCGTGATAAGTTTCTTGTTGTTGTGCACTCTCCTCAAACAATTGCATGGTATTTTTTCACTGTAATAGCTACTGTAAATTGGACAGTGCAGTTAGATTAACAAGAATTTAAGCTTTCTGGCCATATAAGACATGTCTATGTCCTGGAAACAGGACCTCTATACCAGGCGGTGTCAGAGGAATGCCCTAAAAATGGTCAAAGACTCCAGCCTTCCTACTCATAGAATGTTCTCTCTGCTACCGCACGGCAAGCCTAGGTCAAAGAGGGTTCTAAACAGCTTCTACCCCCAAGCCATAAGACTCCTGAATATCTAATCAAATGGCTACCCAGACTAATAGCTACTGTAAATTGGACAGTGCAGTTAGATTAACAAGAATTTAAGCTTTCTGCCCATATAAGACATGTCTATGTCCTGGAAAGTTTGCTGTTACTTACAACAGTCATGCTAATCACATTAGCGCACGTTAGCTCAACCGTCCCGTATACGGGACACCGATCCCGTAGAGGTTAACATAAGAAAAATAGCAATCCTAGACAGATCATACTCATAGGATCAACTTACATTTTTTTAGTTAACTGCTATAAGTAAATTAGTTTAAACCATATGATTCAATGCCAACTGTTATATTTGATTATTAGCTAACTTTTATTTCAAGTTGCAACCTATTTCTTTCAACACTCAACTTACTTTCCCCCTTTTGGTTTTAATTTTTTTATTTCACCTTTATTTAACTAGGTAAGCCAGTTGAGAACAAGTTCTCATGTACAACTGCGACCTGGCCAAGATAAAGCAAAGCAGTGCGATTAAAAACAACAACAACACAGAGTTACATATGGGATAAACAAAACATACAGTCAATAACACAATATAAAATATATATACAGTGTGTGCAAATGTAGTAAGTTATGGAGGTAAGGCAATAAATAGGCCATAGTGCAAAATAATTACAATTTAGTATTAACACTGGAGTGATAGATGTGCAGATGATGATGTGCAAATAGAGATACTGGGGTGCAAATTAGCAAAATAAATAACAAAATGGGGATGAGGTAGTTGGGTGGGCTAATTACAGATGGGCTGTGTACAGGTGCAGTGATCAGTAAGCTGCTCTGACAACTGATGCTTAAAGTTAGTGAGGGAGATAAGAGTCTCCAGCTTCAGAGATTTTTGCAATTTGTTCCAGTCATTAGCAGCAGAGAACTGGAAGGAATGGCGGCCAAAGGAGGTGTTGGCTTTGGGGATGACCAGTGAGATATACCTACTGGAGCGCATCCTATGGGTGGGTGTTGCTATGGTGACCAATGAGCTAAGATAAGGCAGGGATTTGCCTAGCAGAGATTTATAGATGACCTGGAGCCAGTGGGATTGGCGACGAATATGTAGTGAAGGCCAGCCAACGAGAGCGTACAGGTCATAATGGTGGGTAGTATATGGGGCTTTGGTGACAAAACGGATGGCACTGTGATAGACTACATCCAATTTGCTGAGTACAGTCGTGGTCAAAAATTTTGAGAATGACACAAATACTAATTTTCACAAAGTCTGCTGCCTCAGTTTTGATGATGGCAATTTGCATATACTCCAGAATGTCATGAAGAGTGATCAGATGAATTGCAATTAATTGCAAAGTCCCTCTTTGCCATGAAAATGAACTTACTCCCCAAAAAACATTTCCACTGCATTTCAGCCCTGCCACAAAAGGACCAGCTGCTATCATGTCAGTGAGTCTCTCGTTAACACAGGTGAGAGTGTTGACGAGGACAAGGCTGGAGATCACTCTGTCATGCTGATTGAGTTAGAATAACAGACTGGAAGCTTTAAAAGGAGGGTGGTGCTTGAAATCATTGTTCTTCATTTACATTTACATTTACTTCATTTAGCAGACGCTCTTATCCAGAGCGACTTACAAATTGGTGCATTCACCTTATAGCCAGTGGGATAACCACTTTACAATATGTATTTATTATTTTTATTTATTTTTAATTTGGGGGTGGGGTAAGGGGGGGTAGAAGGATTACTTTATCCTATCCCAGCTATTCCTTAAAGAGGTGGGGTTTCAAGTGTCTCCGGAAGGTGGTGAGTGACTCCGCTGTCCTGGCGTCGTGAGGGAGCTTGTTCCACCATTGGGGTGCCAGAGCAGCGAACAGTTTTGACTGGGCTGAGCGGGAACTGTGCTTCCACAGAGGTAGGGGGGCCAGCAGGCCAGAGGTGGATGAACGCAATGCCCTCGTTTGGGTGTAGGGACTGATCAGAGCCTGAAGGTACGGAGATGCCGTTCCCCTCACAGCTCCGTAGGCAAGCACCATGGTCTTGTAGCAGATGCGAGCTTCAACTGGAAGCCAGTGGAGTGTGCGGAGGAGCGGGGTGACGTGAGAGAACTTGGGAAGGTTGAACACCAGACGGGCTGCGGCATTCTGGATGAGTTGTAGGGGTTTAATGGCACAGACAGGGAGCCCAGCCAACAGCGAGTTGCAGTAATCCAGACGGGAGATGACAAGTGCCTGGATTAGGACCTGTGCCGCTTCCTGTGTAAGGCAGGGTCGTACTCTCCGAATGTTGTAGAGCATGAACATACAGGATCGGGTCACCGCCTTGATGTTAGCGGAGAACGACAGGGTGTTGTCCAGGGTCACGCCAATGCTCTTCGCACTCTGGGAGAAGGACACAACAGAGTTGTCAACCGTGATGGCGAGATCATGGAACGGGCAGTCCTTCCCCGGGAGGAAGAGCAGCTCCGTCTTGCCGAGGTTCAGCTTGAGGTGGTGATCCATCATCCACACTGATATGTCTGCCAGACATGCAGAGATGCGATTCGCCACCTGGTTATCAGAAGGGGGAAAGGAGAAGATTAGTTGTGTGTCGTCTGCA